CTTCTTTTAAACATTCGAAATCTATGAAGGAAGCAATACTGCATAGCAATGCTAACGTCGACCTTTTGAACCGTACAGTCTTTCACTTATGGCTGAGCAGAATAGAGTGAAAAGAAGCTGTTATTAAATTCGATATAGTAGTTTTCCTTTAGTGTTTTCCAAAATTTCGTAGTAATTTCTTCCTTTTGGAGAATCTGAATGGACTTTTTTGATGGTAGTTAGAAAACATTAGCGTTAGTTACTTGAAAAACGACAAATAGACGATGTTAATGGTAAGTAGCTTTGTGTTTTCCAATACAATCTTGAATCTTGAGTTCGCTTCTTTGTTTTCGTAAAATCCAATTTAAGAAAGATTGCAGTAAGTTCCAAGCTTCCAGGTGCTAAAATTTTTGTTTACTTTCCTAATACATCCATCTCGTCCTCATAAGTCTTCAAACTTGATTTTACTTTCAATATAATAAAAGGAGTGTCAATTTAACGGTCAAAAAATTCAAGATTTCTAACAGCTTCTTTTCAGTGTTCTGTAAATGGAGATGACATTATGTGAAGATGTATGAATTACTTAGATTTGTGCTAGCTGTAGTTACGATTATGTTTTAATTTGCTGAGGTATTCATTTCAGGATGTACCAATATTTCTGCTCAAAGTAGTCCACATGATGCAATTCTGTATGTTCCTCATTTGAACGTTGTTTGTAGTTACAAGATCGTAGAATTCGTCATTATGTATACATTACTAGTCCTAATGTCTGTACATTTCCAGAAGTAAATAGTATTTAATGTCGTAAATCTATTCCACTCCATATCTTGGCATGTATTTATCTATCTATTAGTTTACCATGCGCTAGGACAGGCATCAGATAAGAAAAACAAGATCTCGAAATTGGAAAAAGGTTATGAATACTTAAAAGGAAAATTGGCAGCATCGTCTATTGGGTATCTTAAGTTGTATTTAAAGAGGTTTTCTTTCCCTAAAATAGCAGAGCCGAGGCATGGTAGCCTTAAGGCAAGGCAGTAGTGATATAGGTTGCACACCAATCGGCTGAGTGCGCACTGTT